TAGAAGCATGTATTGCTGCAGACGTGATGGTAGTAGTGTAGACGGATGGTGTGTAGTGTATAGGGGCCAGTGTAGTAGTGTAGACGGGATGGTGTATATGTAGATAGGCCAGGTGTAGTAGTGTAGACGGGATGGTGTAGTGTAGTGTAGACTGACAGTAGTAACACTCCCTTTGGTGATTGGGTAATGTGACGTCTCAACTCTCCTGCCGCCTCGTCCTGTCATAATGAAAGATGCATCGTCCTCTGTGTGTGTGTGTGTGTGTGTATGTGTGTGTGTGTGTGTGTGTGTGTGCGTGTGTGTGTGTGTGTGAGATCAACCATTACGCTGATGATGGATGCGAAATAATTACTGTGAAGTGTATATTTGCCGCTAATTAATATTTTACGTAGCAGGTGGTGATACTGCTGTTGTGTTGTGTGGGGTAATACTGGTGTTAAATACTGGTGTTGTGTTGGTAATACTGTTGTTGTATTGGCTTTCTGGTGGTAATACTGGTGTTGTAATACAATTGCCGTAATACTGGTGTTGTGTTGGTAAACTGTTGTTACAGTTATTGTGAGGCTGTGTGGGGCTGTACTGGGAGCTGCGGTGGGGCGTAATGGAGGGCTGCGGTAGGCTGTACTGGGGGCTGCGGTAAGGGTTGCACTGGGAGCTGTGGTAAGGGCTGAACTGGGAGCTGCGGTGGGTGGCTGGTACTGGAGGCTGCGGTGGCTGAACTGAGAGCTGGTAAGGGGCTGTGGGGTGCGGTAAGGGCTGTACTGGGAGCTTCGGTATGGCTGTGCTGAGGCTGTGGTGTGGGCTGTGCCTAGGGCTGCGGTGTGGGCTGTGCTGGGAGCTGCGGTGCTTGCTTGAGGCTGCGGTAGGGGCTGTACTGAGGTGCGGCGCGTGCTGGGAGCGCAAGTAAGTACTGGGAGCTGTGGTATGGGCTGGACTGGGAGCTGCGGTGGGCTGTGCTGGGGCTGCGGTGGGGCTTTTGGACTGGAGGCTACGGTGGGGCTGTACTGGGGAGCTGCGGTGGGGCTGTGGGCTGGGAGCTGCGGTGGCCACTGGGGGCTGGTGGGGCTGTGCTGGGGCTGCGGTGGGGTGCATTGGGCTGCGGTGGTGCTGTACTGGGAGCTGCGGTGGGGCTGTACCTGGAGGCTGGGTAAGTGGCTACTGGGAGCTGCGGTGTTGGCTGTGCTGGGAGCTGCAGGCTGGACTGGGAGCTGCGGCGGCTGCTGCAGTGGGGGCTGGCACAGTGGGGCTGCAGGGAGGCTGTAGTGTGGTGGGAACTGGAGAGCGTGGTGCTGGGAGCTGCGGTGGGGTGCACTGGGGCTGTGGTGGGGCTGGACTGGAGCTGCGGGTGGCGGGCTGTCGGAGTGGGTGGCTGTATGGAGAGCTGCAGGCGGCTGAACTGGAGCTACGTAAGGGCTGTACTGAGAGCTGCGGTAAGGGCTGTACTGAGAGCTGCGGTAATGGCTGTACTGAGAGCTGCGGGTAACAAATGAGAGCCATGGCTTACTGAGCTGTGCGGTAAGGGCTGATATGAGAGCTGCGGTGGCTGTGGTGAGGGCTGGCGTGACAAGGACAAGGTCACAGCAACATGAGACAAACTGAAGTAACTGTGTGTGTGTTAGATTTTCGCCTTCCTGTTGTAGACCAGAGGAGTGTTGACCGCGTCCACTACTACTACTACTTTTTTTTTTTTTTTTAACGTGCTTCAGCCTCCCCCAATAACCACACCTCGCCACCATTTAATACCTTAATATTAAATATCCTACATAAGTAGCTATCCTGTGTTAAATAGTTGAGCCGCAGATCTATGCGGCATTCAGTGATGCGGCCTCATAGTCAATATCTGCGGCAGTTGTCGGAGTTGGGGCAGAAGCTCTCGTTCCCTGAGGCAGACAGCCGACCGAAGGAGAGAGAAAGACGTCGACATCTCATCCAGGCTGTAACATAACTTTTGGGCTGCTGCTTCTGTTCGGAGATCACCTCGAGTCTGGCGTAGAAACATCTTGCACTTGGTCCCATCCCACCAGAGGTTGTGAACACTAGAAGGGTGAAGCTGCCTTGATCAACGTTTTGGATTCTCTCTCCATATGCCCTTATCTTGTCGTTCTCGTTCCTCCTGTGTGCAGCATCGAGAGCTAAGTTACGTTGACATGCGGCCATGGGATCAAATATCCTGATGTCGAAGAAGGCTTGCTGTCCCTGCGTCCAGAATCCTCGAGTACTGACGTCAACACGGGCTTCGTTGGATGTGTTTGAAGTCCTATGTTGGAAAATCTCACCGTCCAATGGAAGGAGGGTCGGTTCACCATGACATCACGGCAGATTTCCTTCAACATATTTGCGTGAGGTCCCTTACCTCGTCATGCCTCATGCATATGAAGCCCCTTTCTGCACAACATGGCGTGATCGGCGTCATAGATGAGCCACACACGCATTGGGAGGGCAAACCTTCCACTGGCCTACCGTACCTTAGAGCAATGGCATCTGTAAATTCTTGTTTATTGAGACTGAAACCATTTGCCCTTATCGGTAACGTAGTTAACCAGTTTGAGGCGCCCACCTCCTGCGCTATAGCTTCTTTTTTTTTCTTAAAATTCTCTGGAACTTGCAACAACAGTTGCTGCAACTTGTCACTTTGGCTGTGCTGCCGTTCTGTCGTAATGGACCTTTGAATCTTGTTTACTTCACTGGTATCCACCTCCCCTGTTGCATTCTGAGCTATTATGTGGTCCGTGAGGGCTGCCGTGAGCTTAACTGAGTTTTGATGTTCGGTGGCAGCTCTACTACTACTACTACTACTACTACTACTTTTTTTTTAAACGGCGTCCAGCCTCCCCAATAGCCACACCTTCGCCACCATTTAATTACCTTAATATTAAATATCCTAATACAAACCTATAAAAGTAAGAATGTTAGTATTGGTCCCTATGGACATTAATGATGCCCAGAACACCTGTGTTTACCTGAGATGATTACTGTTAATGTCGTCAGACAGGTGTAAAAGCATGTGTCCTAATTGTGTGCACACCTGTGGTAGTATACTTCACTTGTGGGCTACACCTACACTTTATTCTCTCATTTTTCCCATCAACTCACTTAATGCCCACTGTACCCACGCCTGCCCACACCCAAGTCTCCACTCATACCCACGGCTACACCCACACCCAAGCCTCCCGTCTAGCCCAAACCCACACCAGCAATTGCGGGTGTTTTACTATCCCCTCGGTCTGGCTGCCGGTAGTAAAATGACCAAACACAGAAACGGAGAGAGAGAGAGAGAGAGAGAGAGAGAGAGAGAGAGAAATACGGTGATCTCAAGTTATTAATCTACCCACACGTAACTTAATTTATTGCTTCTGCATGACTGTGGTGTGTGTGTGTGTGTGTGTGTGTAATAACAGGGGCTTCACACACACACACACGCACACACACGTCATGCTCCGTCTAAATATTTACCTCAGGTGTAAACACATCACTCTCTCTCCTCTGTAAATCATCCTTTAATTTACATGTCGTTTGAAATTAATATCTGGAGCTGGTTAATTACCCAACCCGGAAGCCCCTGACCTGACATGACCTGACCCGACATGACCCAACCTTACCCAACCAAACCTAACCTACCACAATAACTAAATCTATCATAATATATCTCAAGCCTAATCTATCCTACACCTAATATCTTCTAATAGATTATATTCGGAAAATAAAGAAGGTTATAAGTGTATAGATGACAAGATGATGGGGAGTTACTGGGGTGGGGTGCTGGGGGAGTTACTGGGGTGGAGTGCTGGGAGTTGCTGGGGTGGGGTGCTGGGGAGTTACTGGGGTGGAGTGCTGGGAGTTGCTGGGGTGGAGTGCTGGGGGAGTTGCTGGGGTGGGTGCTGGGATTTACTGGGTGGGGTGCTGGGAGTTACTGGGGTGGGGTGCTGGGAGTTACTGGGGTGGAGTGCTGGGAGTTACTGGGGTGGGGTGCTGGGGAGTTACTGGGGTGGGTGCTGGGGAGCACTGGGGTGGAGTGCTGGGGAGTTACTGGGGTGGGGTGCTGGGGGATTTACGCGGGTGGAGTGCTGGGGGAGTTACTGGGGTGAGTGCTGGGAGTTACTGGGGTGGGCTGGGAGTTACTGGGTGGGGTGCTGGGGAGTTACTGGGGGGGAGTACTGGGAGTTACTGGGGTGGAGTGCTGGGGATTACTGGGGTGGAGTACTGGGGAGTTACTGGGGTGGGGTGCTGGGGATTTACGTGGTGGAGTGCTGGGGAGTTACTGGGGTGGAGTGCTGGGAGTTACTGGGGTGGAGCTGGGGAGTTACTGGGGGGTGCTGGGGTCGGGTGGGCTGAGGGGAGTTACTGGGGTGGAGTGCTGGGAGTTACTGGGGTGGAGTACTGGGGTGGGGTGTGGGAGTACTGGGTGGAGTGCTAGGGAGCTACTGGGGTGAGGCTGGGGAGTTAATGGAGTGCTGGGAGTTACTGGGGTGGAGTGCTGGGGGAGTTACTGGGGTGGAGTGCTGGGGGAGTTACTGGGGTGGAGCTGGGGAGTTACTGGGGTGGGGTGCTGGGGAGTTACTGGGGTGGAGTGCTGGGGAGTTACGGGGGTGGAGCTGGAGGGAATAATTGGGTGGAGCTGGGGAGTTGCTGGGGTGGAGCTGGGGAGTTACTGGGGGGGTGGAGCTGGGTGGTGCTGGGGGAGTTTCTGGGGTGGAGCTGGGGAGTTACTGGGGTGGAGCTGGGGGTTACTGGGGTGGAGCTGGAGTTACTGGGTGGAGCTGGGGTTACTGGGTGGAGCTGGGGTCAGGTGCTGGGAGTTTCTGGGGTGGAGCTGGGAGTTACTGGGGTGGAGCTGGGGTCGGGTGCTGGGGTAGTTACTGGGGTGGAGCTGGGGAGTTACTGGGGTGGAGCTGGGGTCAGGTGCTGGGGGTAGTTACTGGGTGGAGCTGGGGGTTACTGGGGTGCTGGGAGTTTGGGGTGGAGCTGGGGTTGTTGGGGTGGAGCTGGGGGAGGCACTGGGGTGGCAGCGCGGTAGTGGGGGCCGCAACATGGCCCAAGGGGTGTCGCCCCAGGGATCAATACTTGATTAAGGCAGCCCAGCACCTCCAGAGCTGAGCAGACCACGGGGGGGGGTTTACTGGGAGGGAGGGAGGAAGGATGTTTTACTGGGAGGAGGAATGGGGGTGGTTACCAGTAAGGAGGAAAGGGTCTTCTGGAGGTCCTTTCATGGGGAAAGGGTTAGTAGGGGGTGTTGGTAGGGAAGAGCAACACAGACAGACAGACAGACTGACTGACTGACTGACAGAGTTTTATTATGGCTGAAGTAATGTGATGTGGCCTCTGGCAGTGAGAAAGTGAGACGTAGAGGCAGGAGTGAGATCTAGGACTGAGTGGAGAGAGAGATAGGGGGGGGAACAGAGGGGTGGGAGAGAGACAGAAGGAGTCAGGGGGAAGAGAAGATGGAGTCTGGGAGGAAGGAGCAAGATGGGCAGGAGGAGGGAAAAGAAAGGATGGGAGAATCAGGGAAGGGGGAGTAATGTCTGGAGAACAGGAGAAGAAGATGGGAGGAGGGAGGGAGGAGGATGAGGATGATTCAGTCATGGGAAGAAGGAAGAAGAAGAAGAAAAGAGAGGAAAAGGAAGAAGAGGATGGAAGAAGAAGAAGGAAGGAAGGAAAAGGAGGAAGGATAGGAAGAAGAAAGGAAGGAAGAAGAAAAAGGAGAAGGAAGGAAGATAGAAGAAAAGAAGGAAGAAGAAGAAAAGGAGAAGAAGGAAGAGAAGAAGAAGAAAGAAGAAAGAAAGGAAGAAGAAAGAAGAAAGAAGAAGAAGAAACAAGAAGAAGAAAGGAAAGAAGAAGAAGAAGAGAAGAAAGAAAAGAGAAGAAGAAGAAGGAAGAGGATGGAAAGAAAAAGAAGAAGAAGAAGGAGGAAGAAGAAGGAAGAAGGAAGAGGAAGGAGGAAGAAGAAAGGAAGAAGAAGAAGAAGAAGAAGGAAGGAAGGAAGAAGGAAGGAGAAAGAAGAAGAATAAAGGAGAGAAGAGAGAAAGAAGAAGAAGAAGGAGAAGAAGAAAAGAAGGAAAGAAGGAAGGAAGAAGGAAGAAGAAGGAAGAAAGGAAGGAAGAAGAAGAAGAGAAAGAAGAAAAAGAAGAAAGAAGAAGAAAAAGGAGAAGAAGAAGAAGAAGAAGAAGAGGAAGAGAAGAAGAAGAAGAGAAGAAAAAAGAAGAAGGAAGGAAGAGAAAAAAGAAGAAGAAGAAGAAGAAGAAGAAGAAGAAGGAAAGAAGAAGAAGAGAATAAAGGAAGAAGAAGAAGAAGAAGAGAAGAAAAAAGAAGAGAAAGGGGAAGAAGAAGAAGAAGAAAAGAAGGAAGGAAGGAAGGAAGAAGGAAGAAGAAGGAAGGAAGGAAGGAAGGAAGAAGGAAAGGAAGGAAGGAAGGAAAGAAGGAGAAAAGGAAGGAAGGAAAAAAGAAGAAGAAAGAAGAAAGAAGAAGAAGAAGAAACAAAGAAAGAAAGAAGAAGAAGAAGAAGAAACAAAGAAGAAGAAGAAGAAACAAAGAGAGAAGAAGAATAAGAAGAAGAAGAGAATAAAGAGGAGAAGAAGAAGAAGAAGAAAAAAGAAGAAGAAGAAGAAACAAAAGAAGAAGAAGAAGAAGAAAAGAAGAAGAAGAGAAGAAGAAGAAGAAAAAAACAAAGAAGAGAGAGAAGGAAAGAAGAAGGAAGAAGAAAGACAGGTAAGAAAGAAAGGAAGAAGGAAGGAAGAAAGGAAGGAAGAAGAAGGAAGGAAGGAAGGAAGGAAGGGGACAGAACAAAGACAGAAAAGAAGAAGAAGAAAGAAAAAGAAACAAAGAAAGAAGAAAGAAAGAAAAGAAGGTAGAAGAAGAAGAAAGAAGAAGAAGAAGAAGAAGAAACAAAGAAGAAGAAGAAAGACAGAAGAAGACAGACAGACAGACAGGTACAGACAGAACGTTAAATTTGATAGGACCAGACAGGTAGACAGACAAAAAGGTTACAGACAGACAGGTACAGACAGACAGGTACAGACAGACAGGTACGAACCACATACAGACAGACAGACAGGTACAGACAGACGAACAGGTACAGACAGGGTACAGACAGATGCAGACAGACAGACAGGTACAGACAGACAGACAGGTACAGACAGATAGGTACAGACAGACAGGTACAGACAGACGAACAGGTACAGACAGACAGACAGACAGACAGGTACAGACAGACAGACAGGTACAGACAGACAGGTACAGACAGACAGGTACAGACAGACAGACAGGTACAGACAGACAGACGAATTACAGACAGACAGGTACAGACAGACAGGCAGATACAGACAGACAGGTACAGACAGACAGACAGGTACAGACAGACAGGTACAGACAGACAGGTACAGACAGACAGAAAGGTACAGACAGACAGGTACAGACAGACAGACAGGGTACAGACAGACAGGTACAGACGACCAGGTACAGACAGACAGACCAGGTACAGACGAACGGTACAGACAGACAGACAGGTACAGACAGACCAGGTACAGACAGACAGGTACAGACAGACAGGTACAGACAGACAGGTACAGACCGGGCAGGTACAGACAGACAGGGCTGAACAGACAGACAGGTACAGACAGACAGGTACAGAACAGACAGGTACAGACAGAGCAGGTACAGACAGACAGGTACAGACAGACAGACGGTACAGACAGACAGACAGGTACAGACAGACAGGTACAGACAGACGGTACAGACAGACAGGTACAGACGGGTACAAACAGACGGGTACAGACAAACAGACAGGTACAGACAGACAGGTACAGACAGACAGAGTACAGACAAACAGACAGGTACAGACAGACAGGTACAGACAGACAGACGGGAGTACAGACAGACAGGTACAGACAGACAGGTACGACAGACACAGGCGAACAACAGGTACAGACAGACAGACAGAGGTACAGACAGACAGGTACAGACAGACGGTACAGACAGACAGACAGGTACAGACAGACAGGTACAGACAGACAGGTACAGACAGACAGACAGAGTACAGACAGACAGGTACAGACAGACAGACAGGTACAGACAGACAGATACAGACAGACAGGTACAGACAGACAGGTACAGACAGACAGACAGGTACAGACAGACAGGTACAGACAGACAGGTACAGACAAACGAGACCAGACAGGTACAGACAGACAGGTACAGACAGACAGGTACAGACAGACAGGTACACAGACAGGACAGACAGACAGGTACAGACAGATTGACTCAGATTTCCTCTATACGAACCTTCAGTAAAAGAAATAAATAAATATTACTCACGTGGGAAAAAAACAATATCCGTCAGGTCAGGAAGGAGTGGTATGGTGAGGGGAGGTGATGGTGTGTATGGTGATAGGGAGGTGATGGTGTGGTATGGTGGGGAAGGTGATAGTGTGGTGGGAGGTGATGGTGTGGTATGGTGAGGAAGATGATAGTGTTGTATGGTGGAGGTGATGGTGTGGTATGGTGGGGAAGGTGATGGTGTTGTATGGTGGAGGTGATGGTGGTATGGTGAGGAAGGTGATGGTGTTGTATGGTGGAGGTGGTGTGGTATGGTGGAGGTGATGGTGTGGTATGGTGAGGGAAGGTGATGGTGTTGTATGGTGGAGGTGATGGTGTCGTATGGTGGAGGTGATGGTGTGATATGGTGAGGGGAGGTGATGGTGTTGTATGGTGGTGATGGTGTATGGTGGGAGTTATGGTGAGGGAAGGTGATGGTGTTGTATGGTGGAGGTGATGGTGTGATATGGTGAGGGGAGGTGATGGTGTTGTGGTGGTGGTGAGTGGTGTTGTATGGTGGAGGGTGATGGTGTGGTATGGTGAGGGAAGGTGATGGTGTTGTATGGGGTGGAGGAGTTGGTGTGGGTATGGTGAGGTGATGGTGTTGTATGGTGGAGTGATGGTGTGGTATGGTGAGGGAAGGTGATGGTGTTGTATGGTGGGGAATGTGGTGTTGTATGGTGGAGGTGATGGTGTGGTATGGTGGAGGTGATGGTGTTGTATGGTGGAGGTAATGGTGTTGTATGGTGGAGTGATGGTGTGGTATGGTGGAGGTGTGGTGTGGTATGGTGAGGGAAGGTGATGGTGTTGTATGGTGGAGGGTGATGGTGTGGTATGGTGAGGGAAGGTGATGGTGTTGTATGGTGGAGGTGATGGTGTGGTATGGTGAGGGAAGGTGATGGTGTTGTATGGTGTGGTATGGTGAGGGAAGGTGATGGTGTTGTATGGTGGAGGTGATGGTGTGGTATGGTGGGGAGGTGATGGTGTTGTATGGTGGAGGTTGATGGTGTGGTATGGTGAGGGAAGGTGATGGTGTTGTATGGTGGAGGTGATGGTGTGGTATGGTGATGGTGTTGTGTATGGTGGAGGTGATGGTGTGGTATGGTGAGAGTGAGTGGTGTTGTATGGTGGTGATGGTGTTGTATGGTGGAGGTGATGGTGTGGTATGGTGAGGGGAGGTGATGGTGTTGTATGGTGGGTGATGGTGTGTCTGGTGGAGGTGATGGTGTGGTATGGTGAGGGAGGTGATGTTGTATGGTGGAGGTGATGGTGTGGTATGGTGAGGGAGGTGATGGTGTGTATGGTGAGGGAAGGTGATGGTGTTGTATGGTGATGGGAGGTGATGGTGTTGTATGGTGAGGGACGCGTGGTGTGGTGTTGTGTGGTGGAGGTTATGGTGTGGTATGGTGATAGGGAGGTTATGGTGTTGTATGGTGAGGAGGTTGTGTGGTGTGGTAAGGGCGTCGCACGGTAATGTAAAATGTTACTTGTTTTGCCATTCTTCTGCTCCCCAGCCACCTCAGCCTTCAGCCCAGTACTGCCTCAGCCCAGTACTGCGCCAGCCCCAGTTCCCCAAGTAATTCAGTCCCTCAGCCCCAGTACAGCACCAGCCCCAGTGCCACCCCAGTCCTCAGCTGATGGGACTGCAGTTCCAGGAGTCCCTCAGTACAGTACAGCACCAGCCCACAGTGCACCAGCACAGTGCCAGCACCATGCAGTGCCAGCCCACAGTGCCAGTTCAGCCCACCAGTGCCAGCCCCAGTGCCAGCCCCCATGTGCCAGTCCCTCAGCCCCAGTACCAGTACAGTACCATTCCCAACCCCAGTGCCGCGCCAGCCCCAGAATCCCCATGTGCTTCAGTCCCAGCCCACATGCCAATTTCCTTACAGTGCCACTTGCCACCCCAGTATCCCATAGTCCTCACCTAGTACCACCAGAGTCTAGTGCCGTCAGCCCCCAGTACCACCATGCAATAACCCCATGTACATCAGTTCCTCAGCTCCCAGTACCGTTCCAGCCCCAGTACCGCAGCAACCCATGTACTTAAAGTCCCTCAGCCCCTAGTACCGCCCAGCCCCAAAGCCCCCTCCCCCCAGGACGTAGGCTGAGTAAAATCCCTGACTATTATGAAGTGGAGGGTTTCATCTTGATGACAGACTACTCGGCGTGTATTATGAATACCTGCCCGTGTTGTGGCCCACCTGTCTGTCTCTCTTCCTTCCTGCCACGCCCACTGCCACCTCTCTCCCCATCACTCATCATGTCTACCACGGCCACGCCCACCACGTTGTCACCACGGCCACGCCCACCACACGCCACCCTTGTTTCACCATCAGCACCATAATCCACTTCATGCTCTTATAAAACACCTATACCGACCACCAACTCCTCCACCCTCCACCCACGCCCACCACGCACACCCACACGCCAATTGACATTCATCCACACTGGTATTATTCTCAACCATACGCCACCTCACTTTGCCACCTGCACCCACCACCCCTCCACCCACCACCACCACCACCTCACACACACCACCTATACCCACCAACCACACCCACACACACCACCCACACCCACACCCACCACTGAAATCCACCACTCACACTCCACACCCACCACCCACACCTACACCCACCACCTCCACCTACACCCACCACCCCACCCACCCCACACCCACACCCACCACCACTCACCCACCACCCACACACTCCACACCCACCCCACACGCCACCCCACACCTACACCACCCACACCCACACCCACCACCCACACTTACACCCACCACCCTCACCTCACACCCCACACCAACCACACACACCCACACCCACCACCCACACCTACACCCACCACCCACACCTACACCCACCCACTCATACCCACCACCACACGCCACCCAGACAACACTCCACCACCACACCCACACCCACCACCCACCTTCACCTACACACACCACTCCAACTAAGACTACACCCACCACCCACCACACCACCACCCACACACCACCCACACCCACACCCCACCCCACACCCCACACCAACCACACCTGCACCACCCACACCTCCACACCCACCACACGCCACCCTATACCTAAACCCAGAACCCACTCACCACTCCACCCCACACCACCCACACCTACACCCACCACTGAAATCCACCACCACACGCCACCCATACACCTAAACCCACGATCTTAATCCACCACTCACCACCACCCCTACACTCAACCACCACCCACACCCACCACCAACCACTCCCCTACACCCACCACCCACACCTACACCACCATCACTCACCCACACCCACGACCCTAATTCATCACCACACCCAAGATCCAATCCACCACTCACACCTACACCCACCACCCACCACACCACCACCCACACACTCTGACCCACCACTAATAATTTACACCACGACTAATCACCACTCACACCTACACCAACGACTCCTAATCCCACTCACTACCACACTCACTACCCACACCTACACCTACCACTGTAATCTTCACTCATTTTTCTGACCACATTCAACCTGATTTAACACACATTTGTTAATGACTCTGCATCTACCACTCACCACCACAGCTACACCTCATTAGCAACAGTATCTGGTGGTCGACATTTGCTCACTTTTGTACCTCCACAATACACAACAAACACTACTCTGGTTCAATATTCATTTTTCCCCACGACTCAAATACACATGAATGGGGATTTATAAATATCATCTATCATCCTCAACTGATCAAGCTTAAGCAGGTTGGGTGGGAGCTGTGAAATGGTGGGGGTAAATAATAGTAGGGAGTCAGTGGAATGGGTGGCGTAATGGGTTAGGTGGACAAATGGGTGGGTAATGGGTTGGGTAGGGAGCGTGAATGGGGATGGGTTGAGAGGAGCTATGAACGGTGAGGTAATGGGTTGGGAGCTGTGGAATGGTTAGTAGGGAGCTGATAAGCTGACAGCGCTTGATGAAGAGAGCTGATTGCTTGACATCATTGCTTGGATGATTCTTGTTGAACAGCTGACTGTGCTGACATCAGTGACGGTTGATACTGGTGTTTATGTCCGTCAGTTCTGTTGGAAATATTGTATTTTATAATGAAATTGAATCAGATAACCTCTCTCTCTCTCTCTCCAGGATTACGTCACCCTTCCTTGAAACAATTTTACCTATATTTTGTACAATGTATAGTAATTGATCATAAACAAAATATTACACGGGCAGGTGGTTCGTCAGGGTCACAAAAGCTTTGACCATGAGTCACTGTGTTAGTGTTAGTCATGCGTCTGGCAGTGTATTTAGTAGTTGAATAGTCAGATTTGACCATGTCATTAGGATCACACGACACATCTTGAGCTGAAGATTTACGATTATATATAAAAAAAAACATTTATTCTACCGTTAATATTACCTGAATAAAATGCTACTTGTATTCAAAGACTCTACTATAACTTACTTATTTGTTTTTTAATCTTTAGTTTAGAGGAAATTGATAATATACGAACCTTTTAAGACTCTCGACTTGGTTTGTTCTCTATGTTTGG